TTTACTTTTCTAAACATTAATGCGAAACAACAACAAATATTTATGCAAACGGTTTCCAAATTAGGCGTACGTTGATTAGGTTATTTAATCTGTATAAATCTATGTCACGCATGGAAGATGCTGTTACAAATAAGGAATATGCTTTAAATAATAAATAACTACTCTCAATATATCTTAATGTTATAACTCGTGTTCCTACATTGTCAACTTTACTAGGAACGTATGAGACTCGCAATGTCTTGCTTGCACACAAACTCAACATCATGTATGTTGCTTTTAATTAACCTAACTTGTAAGTCCATTCTTGTCTCTCTATTTATAATATATGTCTTAGTATTTTCTGTTTGCAAATTTTATAGAGAAGACGTTCTTATTATATATACAAGAAGAGATATTAAACAAGATTTGAAGTTCGAAGATATGGCATCGACTTTGAGATCATCCACGAGGTTGATACTTGTATTAGGTGTACTGGTTTTGTGTTCGGTTTCTTCTGTCCAAAGCTGGAGCAAAGAAGGTCATATGCTTACATGTCGAATTGCTCAGGTTAGTGAATGATTCTAGTGTTTAAATCGAGTATTTTGGTTATTGTCTTGTGTCATTAATCAATTTTGTTATTGTGTGGTGTGAACAGAATCTCTTAGAAGCAGGACCAGCACATGTAGTAGAGAATCTATTACCGGATTATGCGAATGGAGATTTATCGGCATTGTGTGTGTGGCCTGACCAGATCCGACATTGGTACAAGTACCGTTGGACCAGTCCTCTCCATTTCATCGACACTCCCGACCAAGCCTGCTCTTACGAATACTCTAGTAAATTACTTTTTTTTTTTNTTTGTCAAATAAATTACTCATAACTCATAACCCCAACTTTTTTGTTTAACCTTAATCCGGTTCTATTTTTCTTAAACCGGAGTTCCTAAAACTCAAGTTCTACGAAAACCAAAACCTATTTACTTTCGAAGCATTAATATAATATAGTTTTATATCTAAAAAAGAATTAATAAAATATTTGTGAGTCTCTAAAAATTTGAGAACTCCATCTAGTAGTTTCTCAATTGAGAAATTATTAGATGAAGTTCTCAATTTTTTAGAGACTTACATTTATTTTATCATTATTTTTTTAGATCTTAAACATATTTTATTAGTATTAATATTTTATAATTGTTTGAGAACTCTACTGAGAACTCATCAATGTACATGTTCTTATTAGTTAACTATAATCGAAATTAATTATTATTATAATTTTTATTAAAAAACAGGGGATTGTCATGATCAACATGGGTTGAAGGATATGTGTGTGGATGGTGCAATTCAAAATTTCACGTCCCAGCTTCAGCATTATGGTGAAGGAACATCTGATCGTCGATGTCCGTGATCAAATTTATTTACTTTACTATAACAACGATATAAAAAATTTAACTACATATTTCGTTTTTGGTGTGTGTTTTTACTTCAATTTTAAAAATTAGATTATACTAATTATGTGTTCATCTTCTTGTTCAATCTAATAGATAACATGACGGAAGCCCTTTTGTTCTTGTCTCATTTCATGGGAGATATTCATCAGGTTTATTCCTCATCATTTCAATACACTTATTTATATTTGTATGCTAGATATATAACTCTGATTAGGTCGTAACATATTTTTTCTATAAAAAAGCCGATGCATGTCGGATTCACAAGTGATGAAGGGGGAAACACGATAGATTTACGTTGGTACAGACATAAATCAAATTTACATCATGTGAGTTTCCTCTGTTTGTTGAAAAAAAAAAAAAAAGTTTCCCCTGTTTTTTCACCCTCTTAGTGAAAACAAAATGTGAAGGTATGGGACAGAGAGATTATACTCACGGCTCTAAAAGAATACTACGACAAGGACTTGGATCTTCTCCAAAAGGATCTTGAGAAGAATATCACCAATGTAATAAAACATAATTATTTATATTTTACTATAACTTATGTCATCGTTTTTTACCGTTGACTATAATGGTAATGGTTATCATATGCTAGGGATTATGGGACGACGATCTATCTTCGTGGACCGAATGCAAAGATCTCATCGCTTGTCCACACAAGTAAGTTTTAAATACTTTGGTTTGAAAATCGTTTGTTGAAACTTTTTTGGTCCAATAAAGAAATTGAAAAAATGAAAGAATCTGTTCTACTTCTTCTTTTTTTTTTTTTAATGTGGTTGAACAAGATTTGACTCGAACATCGATCGGTCTTAATTGATATTTCTGGTGTTTTCATGATCCAACTCTTCTTACTTTTACATCTCACTAATAGAACATTTACATCATAGCTATATTTCATGAAATTTGTTTGGTTTTGGCGGAGGAAATTTAATTTCTAAAAAAACTATATGAAAAATGAATAAATGTCAATTATTTGAAGGTATGCTTCGGAGAGTATAAAGTTAGCTTGTAAATATGGCTACGAAGGCGTGAAGTCCGGTGAAACGTTATCAGGTACATTGTTTGCTTCTTCTTCTTTTTCTTGTACGCAAACAGAATACAGTTTAAAACTAACCGAACCAAATTAGTTTAATTAACCAAACTAAGCCTAGTTTCAGTCCAGTTTCTGACTTTGTATAAATTAACCGGAGTAACCAAATCAAATTCATGTAAAACATTTTGCAGATGTTCTACAAAACACAACAAATAACTTTTACAATTTTTTTTTGTCTTGAGATTCAACGACTAACAATTTTTTTCAGTGTTCGAGAGTCATAGTAGTTTCAAACTATTTATGTAAAGGTTATATATGTTATTCTATAAAAATATTGACGTTGTAAGAAAAAAAAAATTGATTTCTCGTAAATAATTTTGCAGAGGAGTATTTCAATACAAGGTTGCCAATAGTGATGAAGAGAATTGTTCAGGGAGGAGTTAGACTAGCCATGATACTAAACCGGGTTTTTAGTGATACTCATTCTGATAATGTTGCTGCCACTTGAACCAAACTCGACCAGACCGGACCATCAAAGCATTTAGTTAGAAGATTATTTGGTCAATTCACAAAATTAAATAAGACTAATCGAACATTCTATTCTTAAGATTAGTTGCTATATCCATTTGACAGCTAATGCCTATGAACTAGTTTGTTTATATTAAAGTGTTCAGGATTATAGCATCTGCTAATTTTAGGGTATTTCTCTATTACTATTTCATTGTATGATTGTTTTGTTTGGTATGGTTCTAAAAAATTAGGTTATTTAGATGGAAGTTGGAACGATTAAAAGTGTTCCTCGTATTTCAAGGCAAATGTCTTCTATATCAGTTGAGTTGGTAAATTTGTTTGAGTTGGGATGAACTTGCCTGAAATTTAGAGATCAAACTGATAGATT